GGAGTCCTCCGCGGCGCCGGCACCCGCCGCGCACAGCGGCGGCGGCGGGCGCACCGCCAGCGTCACCTCCGGGCGGCGGCAGACGGGCAGACCGACCGACAGACAGACGGGCAGGCAGGCAGGCAGACGGACGGACAGACATGGAGGGGCCCTAGGACACACAACTAAATAGACACTAGTGACCGGATTCCCCATGCTTCCCCGCATTTTTTGGGTCTTCGTCACCCCACCCACTTCCCATATTGTCCCTTATCTTCTGGGGAATCGACGATTAACTGTGTCCGTGTCTTTTCCCCTGCTGAAGACAGACAGACGGACGGACGGACGGACAGAACGACAGACAGACCAGCCAGGCAGGCCAGCCAGGCTGGCCATGCACCAAGCGGCGCGTGGGCGTGAGCAGGCGCGGGGAACGCGGCGCCAACTCCTGCGGACCACAGGACGCCTCCGAAATCGGTCCAGGGCGATCGACTGCCCCGCGGGGAGGGGGTCGAAACCTCTGGCGGCCGCGCCTGGAACAAAAACAACAACAATAACAGCAACAATAACAGCAACAACAACAACAACAACAACAACAACAACAACAACAACAATCATTTTACCCGAACGCTCAGTGTTCTCACCAGTGCCAGGGTTTTCATGCGACGCGAGACAATACCCCCACTTCGTGGGGGGGCAGTTCAAGCTCTACCAAATATCCAAACGACTCTTCGCGACCACCCAAACCCAGCTTCCCGCCCTATGACGTTGGGACACTTCACTTCGTGGCGTGCGGACGACCGTGGCTACTACACTGGCGTGGGGTACACACCCACAGAACTTGGTCACTTATTCGGGGCGCGCGTGTGCCCAGCATCCTGCAATTGTGACATACAATACATGACACAGACAGACAGACAGAGAGAGACAGAGAGCAGACAGAGAGAGAGACAGAGAGAGCGGAGTTGGCCACATTTTTGGGGCAAGTTCCTGAGATCGTCGTGTTTTTTGTTGGTCTTGCGCGCGCGAATGTCCACTTTACTTTTTTTTGCAAGGGATGTTGAAATTTGATTATGTAAGAACCAAGAAAAAGTAGCTCGCGCGAGCTTATGTAACATAAATGTTGAAAAACCATTGGTTTTGTGGGAGTCGGACAGCGCGCGCGGGATGAAATTTGGACATTTTTTTTTGAAAAACCATTGGCTTTTTGATGTTTTTATGTTGAAATCGTTACGAAACCTAAGGTTCTGGAAGGATTTCGTCTTGCGCGCGCGAATGTCCACTTTACCTTATTTTTTGCAAGGGATTATTGAAATTTGATTATGTTAGAACAAGAAAAAGTAGCTCGCGCGAGCTCATGTAACATAAATGTTGAAAAACCATTGGTTTTGTAGGATTCGGACAGCGCGCGCGGAAGGACATTTTGACAATTTTTTCTTAAAAAACCATTGGGTTTTTGATGTTTTTATGTTAAAATCGCTACGAAACCTAAGGTTTTGGAAGGATTTCGTCTTGCGCGCACGAATGTCCACTTTACCTTATTTTTTGCAAGGGATTCTTGCAATTTGATCAAGTAAGAACAAGAATTTTCATTTTCTAGTGTTTTTTGCAAGGGAAAACGGCGTCAACAAAACAACCGGATCCGGTACCAATCGTTTTGCCTGAGACTTCCTCACGAAAATGATGAAAATGTGGCTGCGGCCTAGGCGCGGCGGGGGGGTCGCGCACCAGGGGTCCCAACAATAATTATTCTTTAGAAGAAATAATGTTCAACAACAACAACAACAACAACAACAACAACAACAACAACAACAACAACAACAACACCCCTTTGGGGGGGTATACCTTTCTTCCCTGCAGACCAGGCCCCGGCAAGCGGCGGGGCGGCCGCGGACCGTCGGCCTGGCCAGCGGTAGCGCTGATCGGCGGCAACCCGACCCCAAGAGGGACGGACAGGGGACCGACCACGACGACGACGACGACGACGACGACGACGACGACGACGACGACGACGAAACGACGACGTCGACGACGACGACGACGACGACGACGACGACGACGGACGACGACGACGACGACGACGACGAAGACGACGACGACGACGACGACGACGTCGACGACGACGACGACGACAACGAGCGAAAGCGAGAGCGAGAGAGAGAGAGAGAGAGAACGACAGCAGGGCCACGAAGGGCACGAAGTAGGCCACGAAGGGCGACAGCGGGGACACGAAGGGAATGCGTATGGCGCCACGAAGAGCGAGATCGAGCGGGGACCACGAAGGGCAGATCATGCGGGGCCACAGAAGGCAACGACGGGGCCACTGAGGGTAGCAACTGGGCCATGTAGGACAGCGAGGGGGCCACAAAGGGCGACAGCGGAGCCACGAAGGGCATGCACATGGGGCCACGACGGGCGCGAACGAGCGGAGGCCACGAAGGGCATACGAAGATTGGGCCGCGGAGGACAAGGACGGGGCCACGAAGGGCAGCGAGGGGGCCACGAAGGGCGACAGCGGGGCCACGAAGGGCAGCGACGGGGCCACGAAGGGCAGACATGTATGGAGCCACGAAGGGCAGCGAGGGGGCCACGAAGGGCTGCAACGGGGCCACGAAGGGCTGCACGAGGCCAGGAAGGGCAGCGAGGGGGCGACGAAGGATTGCAACGGGGCCACGAAGGACAGCGAGGGGGCCACGAAGGGTTGCAGCGGGGCCACGAAGGGCAGCGAGGGGGCCACGAAGGGGTGCAACGGGGCCACGACGGGCAGCGAGGGGGCCACGAAGGACTGCAACGGGGCCACGAAGGACAGCGAGGGGGCCACGAACGGCTGCAACGGAGCCACGAACGGCAGCGAGGAGGCCACGAAGGGCGACAGCGGGTCCACGAAGGGCAGCGAGGGGGCCCCGAAGGGCGACAGCGAGGGGGCCACGAAGGGCGACAGCGGGGCCACGAAGCGAAGGGCAGCGAGGGGGCCACGAAGGGCTGCAACGGGTCCACGAAGGGCAGCGAGGGGGCCACGAAGGGCTGCAACGAGGCCACGAAGGGCAGCGAGATCCCTATTCCTAAATAATTTGTGGGGGGGTCCTAAGCGTGAGCGCGATTCCTGGGTGCTTGAACGTCGGGAGCGCGGCGCTTGAGTGAATTGCGGGAAATTCGAACGCAAGGGCGCTATTCGTGCGTAAATTACAAGCAAGTCTCCAGCGAGAGCGCGACTCCAGAGCGCCGAGGGAGCGATTCCTGAATAAATTGTAAGGAAGGAACAAGCGAGAACGCGATTCCTGAATAAAATGCGAGGAAGTCTCAGGCGGGAGCGGGGATCCTGGCTAAAGTGTGAGGAAGTCTCAAGCAGGAGCCGTTGCTGTTGTAACCCGGGGGCCAGGGGCCCAGTTAGAGGACGAAGACTTTCCCTGATACAAAACAAGGTGCGAGCGCCGGGAGGGGCAATTCAATTGAAAAATAAATGTGCACCCGAAGGGGATCAACAGTAATTATTCCTCACCAATCCAACAATCCAACAACAACAACAACAACAACAACAACAACAACAACAACAACAATCACTTTACCCGAACGCTCAGTGTTCTCACCAGTGCCAGGGTTTTCATGCGACGCCAGCCAATACCCCCACTTTGTGGGGGGGCAGTGCAAGCTCTACCAAATATCCACACGACTCTTCGCCACCACCCACACCCAGCTTCCCGCCCTATGACGTTCGGACACTTCACTTCGTGGCCTGCGGACGACCGTGGCTACTACACTGGCGTGGAGTACACACCCACAGAAGTTGTTAAGCCTACGTTCGTACACCCACAGAAGTTGTTAAGCCTTGTTAACCCACAGAAGTTGTTAAGCCTTCCACAGAACATCTGTTGCATATGATGCATATGGTACATGATACACATGATACACATGATACGTACTCACAAGATAGTTGATCACATCTTTAGGGCAAATTCCTGAGGGATGTGGGAATACACAAGAGAGAGAGGATATGGTTGTCCCGATGGTTGTCTCGATGGTTGTCCCGATGGTTGTCCTGATGGTTGTGGTTGTCCCGATCGTAAGCCTGCCAGGGGCCACAACCGCAAGGGATTGTGGCCCCTGGCAGGCGCGCGAACCCCGTTGCAAGAGCGTGCGAAAGTAGCTCGCGCGAGCTCATGTAACATACATGTTGGAAAACCATTGGTTTTTTTTTAGGATTCGGACAGCGCGCGCGGGTAGAAATTTTGAAAAGTCGTGCAGGTGTTTTTCGAGGACCTACGGTGCGATTCGTGTGATTTTATGATGCGCGGTGCTAAAATTCTTAAGAAGCCCAATGGTTTTTGGAGATTTCGGCGTGCGCGCGCGAAGAAAAAACGAATGTGTCCCGCATGGTATTATTTGACAGGGATGATGGCCCTGGCAGGTGCGCAACCGTTGTCGCAGAAGTTCGAAAAAGTTGCTCGCAAAAGCCCGTTTGACAGAAATGTTTAAAAAGTGTTGGGTTTCCTACGAATCCGCAAGAGCGCGCGGGATGAGATTTTGACATTTTTTGTTGAAAAACCATTAGTGTTTTGATGTTTTTATGTTGAAATCGCTTCCGAACACTAAGCTTTTGGAAGGATTTCGTCTTGCGCGCGCGAATGTCCACTTTACCTTATTTTTTGCAAGGGATTCTTGAAATTTGATTATATTAGAACAAGAAATGTCATTTTATAGTGTTTTTTGCAAGGGAAAGCGGGGGGGAACAAAACAACCGGATCTTGATCACATCGAATTACCTGAGGCTTCCTCACGAAAATGATGAAAATGTAGCTGCGGCCTAGGCGGCGCAGGGGGGCCGTGCACCAGGGGTCCCAACAATAATTATTCTTTAGAATTAATAATGTTCAACCACAACAACAACAACAACGACAACAACAACAACTACAACAACAACAACAAAAGACAACAACAACAACAACAACAACAACAACAACAACGACAACAACAACAATAACAGCAGCAGCAGCAGCAACAGCAACAACAAGGACGACAACAAAAAGAAGAAGAAGACGAACAAGAACAACAACAACAACAACGACAACGACAACGACAACGACAACGAC